ACAGCGTATAATCAATTTAGAGAGTTGAAATCTAACGCTAATGATTATTAGAATTATAAAAAAAAATTATATTATAAATAAAAAATATTGTATATTATTATTATGACGGTCAATGGAAGAGGTTCCTTCCTTGCAAGATTGAGAACGCAAAAGTAGCCGTTTTTGAGCCCCCCCCAAAATTATTACCTCCCCCATTTGGGGATGTGCGTAAGTTGCACCCAAATGTTACTAATCTTGATTTTCAGGTGGGCTGACCTTAAACATAAACTGTTCCAATTGAACGGCAAAAAAATCCCCGTAATGAAACACCGGGTCGAAGACGAGTTATACTGCTAGTAAATATATATATATATATATATATATATATATATAATTTTAAACGTTATTTTTAGTGGATAATCATATCTGAGTAGACGTTCCATTTATTTATTAAACAGTAGGTTTATTTATTTTACTCTACCGACCTGAATATTCGAGAAATCATATTAAAGAAAAAAATTCGCAGTCTGGCAAGATTTGAACTTGCGTCTCACTGGATAGAGGGAAACGTCGTTATATCCGATGTGTTTATACCGACTCGGCCACAAAGAACCTTCGCCGACCAAATAGGATTGAATAGTGTCTTTAAGCGAAATCCTTCTCATCATAGAATCTCGAACTTTTCATATCTATTCTCATATTTTTGTATCCGCTAAAAATAATGTTTCAAGTGATAAAGTGTATGTATTGGAGCCTGTTGATGTGTGTTGGATATTAAATCAGTCCACTCCGAGTAGATCTGTTTTTTTTTCCTTCTTAGCTTGTATACTGCATTATGTTACTATTACTTTTGTGATGATCTGTGATATTATGGATGGTCCTGAACTTACGATTTATTGTACAGAATTGTGAGATTGGAAAGTTCGTAAGACATTTTCTTCTTAGTTAATATATTTTTTTTACAGCATGGTTCACTCTGTACAAGGTCCTGGGGCACTCGAAGTAGAGGGTTACAGTAAGTGGCAGTTTATATGGATAGGAGAGGAAGATAATGGTTAACTCTAGACTTGAACAGGTTAAGATTGTAGTGATTGGGGAAAACATCCTCTTGGCAGTCTGTTCCATAGGGCAGTGGTTTGTAGGAAGAAGTTGTTTGAGTGAAACTTACTTCTCACCAATGGGTAGTTTATATGGATAGGAGAGGAAGATAATGGTTAACTCTAGACTTGAACAGGTTAAGATTGTAGTGATTGGGGAAAACATCCTCTTGGGAGTCTGTTCCATAGGGCAGTGGTTTGTAGGAAGAAGTTGTTTGAGTGGAACTTACTTCTCACCAATGGGTAGTTTATATGGATAGGAGAGGAAGATAATGGTTAACTCTAGACTTGAACAGGTTAAGATTGTAGTGATTGGGGAAACATCCCCTTGGGAGTCTGTTCCATAGGGCAGTGGTTTGTAGGAAGAATCTGTTTGATTGGAACTTACTTCTCACCAATGGGTAGTTTATATGGATAGGAGAGGAAGATAATGGTTAACTCTAGACTTGAACAGGTTAAGATTGTAGTGATTGGGGAAACATCCCCTTGGGAGTCTGTTCCATAGGGCAGTGGTTTGTAGGAAGAAGCTGTTTGAGTGGAACTTACTTCTCACCAATGGGTAGTTTATATGGATAGGAGAGGAAGATAATGGTTAACTCTAGACTTGAACAGGTTAAGATTGTAGTGATTGGGGAAACATCCCATTGGGAGTCTGTTCCATAGGGCAGTGGTTTGTAGGAAGAAGCTGTTTGAGTGGAACTTACTTCTCACCAATGGGTAGTTTATATGGATAGGAGAGGAAGATAATGGTTAACTCTAGACTTGAACAGGTTAAGATTGTAGTGATTGGGAAACATCCCATTGGGAGTCTGTTCCATAGGGCAGTGGTTTGTAGGAAGAAGCTGTTTGAGTGGAACTTACTTCTCACCAATGGGTAGTTTATATGGACAAGAGAGGAAGATAATGGTTAACTCTAGACTTGAACAGGTTAAGATTGTAGTGATTGGGGAAACATCCCCTTGGGAGTCTGTTCCATAGGGCAGTGGTTTGTATGAAGAAGCTGTTTGAGTGGAACTTACTTCTCACCAATGGGTAGTTTATATGGATAGGAGAGGAAGATAATGGTTAACTCTTGACTTGAACAGGTTAAAATTGTAGTGATTGGGGAAACATCCTCTTGGGAGTCTGTTCCATAGGGCAGTGGTTTGTAGGGAAGAAGCTGTTTTGTGGGAACTTACTTCTCACCAATGGGTAGTTTATATGGAGGAGAGGAAGATAATGGTTAACTCTAGACTTGAACAGGTTAAGATTGTAGTGATTGGGGAAACATCCCCTTGGGAGTCTGTTCCATAGGGCAGTGGTTTGTAGGAAGAAGCTGTTTGAGTTGTACTTACTTCTCACCAACAGAATACGGAGGGAATGTGGGTCGTTTGCCTAAGTGGCATGGCAGGTGCTAGCCGTGAATGTTAGACCTTGGTGGAACAGAGGAATGTAATTGGTTCGAGCAGTTTCCATGGAAGGATGCTTGCCACATTGGAGAGTGGAAAATTATTTGTCACCTACAAGAGACGTTTTTGGACGCTATCGACATTGGAAAGTGATGGGTGGACAGTTCCCGGCCAAATATGACAACAGTACCCCATTTTGGACTTAATCTGGCCAGAGGAGCCAGGTACATACTTTTAAAGGTACAGGGACCATTTTTCATGAATTTTTAGCGATGGATCATATGTAAGATTTATTTTTCAACGTGTGAAACCTTGTTCAGTGATTTTATGTCCAATTTTGTATGGGGCACTTAGTGAGGATCGAACTCATGACTCAGTAGTAATGTTCCTCCACACAAGCCTATCCATCCATACCGAGTTAAGTTGGTTGATTTTTCGACATGTGAACCTGTTGTGTATGATACACCTAATTTACATAAGTGGAGTACCGACCATATAAATATGGGTTGGTGACGGAAGATTAAGAGATCGAATCCAGAGACTCTGCCCGACTGCGACTTAGTCAACCCATGCTGCAGGAACAGTCTTCCCAAGAATATACCAAAACTACCTGTAAATATTGTGTACCTTTTTTCATTGTTTCAATACATTTTGTTACGTACATTTTGTGTTGTATTATTATTATTCCATGCTTATTCAAGCTTCAACAGAACCCTTGTTCAGTTATTTCATGTCGCATTTTGTATGGGGCACCCAGTGAGGATCGAACTCAATTATCTGTAACAGCCAAGGAGACTGGTCTTGTTAATCATTAAAACACGCCGTGGTATTTCGAAATGAGAAAAGGATTTTAAGTAGAAAATGGTGCGTAAATGTCCCTAATCGTTTATGTACGAGGCCCCTCCCTGTGTGTGTGTGTGTGTGTGTGCGCGCGCGAGGTCGTATTTTGATGAAAGGGTAATTTGTTTTATTCCTAGTTGCTTGTAAGATCTTAAGTGTCAAGTCTCAGTTTGCAGCCAGCACTTTCGTGAGAGGCGGTCTTATTTTAAATACACTTTACCTCCCTCTTTTTTATGTTTTCATGAAGGTAGTTCATCTCTTTTATTAAGTACACGCACCTTCAGGTGAACATTAATCAGAAACACATTTAGATTAGAAAGTCGTTCTTGACAACAACAACAAGAAAAAAAAAAAAAAAAGATGATTTCAAGATTTGCTTAATTAGTTTTTCGGTTAAAGAAAAATACAAACGTAAAATAATATTTTATTACACAGTTCTAACATATCTGTCTACTTCCCAAACGCATTCCCAAACACGTGTTATCTTACTACCCATGAATCTAGTAATGATTTCTTTGTTGCTGATATAGCTGTGTATTTACCACTGAACCAATGTTTAATATTGCAGATAAAAAGCTAGGAACGCGAATGCTTATTTTCAAGATGAGAAGACAGAAAAAAATATTAGTAAAACTGGCGCAACACAATCTTATTTCCGCGCATTTCCCCCATTCGTGTCAGTGCTAAAATAAGTTAAGATGTATGTCAGTCTGTTCACTATCTATCTATCTATCTAAGTCTGTTTCTTTCTATCTATCTATCTAAGTCTGTTTCTTTCTATCTATTTATCTAAGTCTGTTTCTTTCTATCTATCTATCTAAGTCTGTTTCTTTCTATCTATCTATCTAAGTCTGTTTCTTTCTATCTATCTAAGTCTGTTTCTTTCTTTCTATCTATCTAAGTCTGTTTCTTTCTTTCTATCTATCTAAGTCTGTTTCTTTCTTTCTATCTATCTAAGTCTGTTTCTTTCTTTCTATCTATCTAAGTCTGTTTCTTTCTTTCTATCTATCTGGTCTTGGCTAATGGAAAGTGATTGAGCCGAAGTAAAGGCAGACAGACCTTCTCCCATCTCCAAAAGTTTCTTAATTGCATTTACTCTTTTCCTCTTGCGTAATTATTTGTTCACGCTGTAGAGTTTCAATATACATAATGTTTTAATTGATACAGATCTCATCCATCTTTTGAGATCCTGATATCCATATACGAGATTTCATCTCACGAGGTTATTTAGGGTAATGATTCAAGATCTTAGGTTAATATTTTGGTTGCGTAGTAAGTTACGGTGTTGGGGGGAAACTACACTTAGCTCAGCCTATTCTGTGTTCAGTCCCCTACATTTATAACTGCTTCATACACCGAGATATTTGAAGTGTTTAGTGTTTATTAATTCCACATTCTGAATTTTGAAAACACGTCCCAGATGGTGAACTTTCCATATTTTTTTCTGGAAAAATATTAAAGCTAAAAGTTTTTCCCAATGTCTTATTTAGTTAGGCTTGTTTTCCATTTTCGTCAGGCGAAAGAGTTTTACTGAATCCTACCTTTCCTGGGAAGCTGAGTTTAAGAATTTCCTTGGCAGAGTCCTTCTATTGCTCTTAGCGAATTCTTATATCTCTCCTGTAGACCGGGAATGTCGACAGAAAGGCAAATATTAGAAGAAGAAAGATTTTCTAAGTAATTTCAAGCTGGGTTTGGTTTAGGGGGAGACTGCGAGAAAGGCGGGAAATGAAAAAGACGGGGATGGAAGCAGACGACAAGGAACAACAACAAGAACAACAACAAAAGGAAAAATGCAGTAAAGAAAAATAAAAAAACGTAAAGACGAATAAAAGAAATGAAGATAAAACGAATGAAAATGAAAAAAGAAATAAGGGAAATGAAAAAGAAAGAAAAAAGAAAAGTGGTAGAAAATGGGTAACAAAATAAAGCCTGAAAGAACTGAAGGAAAGAAGATGGGAAAGAAAAACAAATGAATGTTAGAAAATTCTCGTTTTGAGATCGAAGAAGATATGAAAAAGGAAAATAAGAAAATGAAAAGATTGAATGAAGAAAATAGAGGTAGAAGAAAAAGAAAATAGTGAATGAGAAATGAAAAATAAAAACAAAAGAACGTAATTAAATGAAAGAAGAAAATGGCGACGAAGGAAAGGCTAAAAAAGGGGTGGAAGAACGTAAAAAAAAACTCATACAGAAATGGAATGAAAAGGAAGAAAAAAATATGTCTGTTAAGAAGAAAAGAGGCAGTAAAGGAAGTGAAGAAGAATAAAGCAATAAATGAACGAAAGAAAGAAAATGAAAAATTGAAAAGAAAGAAGGTAGGAAGAAGGAAAGGGAAGAAGGAAAGAAGAAAAAGAAAGCTTCCTTTCGAGGGAGAAGAAGAGTAAGAAGGAAGAAAGAAAGGAAGGAAGGAAAAAGAGTAGGAGATTATGTAAAGGAGGAAGGGAGGGAGAGAGTAAGGAAAAGAATAAAAATAAAGGAACTAAAGAAGGAAGCAAGGAAAGGAATAAAGAAGAAAAGGAAAAAATTATAAAGAAAGAAAGCGAAGAACGAAAATATCGGAAGGAAGTGAATTAAAAAAAAGGAAGGACGGGAATTTGGAAGGAAGAAAATTAAGAAGAAAGGAAGAGAAAGTAAGGAAGGAAGGGAGGAAATTAAGAAAAAGATAGGGAAAAAATAAGAAAGGAAGTAGGGAAGGTAAGAAGGAAAGAAAGAGAAAAGGAAGGAAATGCGTGAAAAGGAAAGAAGGAAAAAGAAAGAAAAAGAGGGGAGAAATGAAGGAAGCCAGGGAAGGCAGAAAGAAAAGATAATCGAATTGAAGGAGGGGTAAGAAGAAGGAAGAATTGAAGAAACGAGAAGAAAAAATTGAAAGAAAGAACAGAGGAAGGAAGAATTGAATGAAAGGAAAGAGGAAGGAAGAATTGAAGGAAATAAAGAGGAAGTTAGAATTGAAGGAATGGAAATTGAATGAAAATTGAAGGAAAGGAAAGAGGAAGGTTGAATTGAAAAAAAAAAGGGAAGAAGGAGGAATAATTAAAGGAAAGAAAGAAGAAGGAAGAATTGAAAGAAAGGGAAGAGGAAGAAAGGATTGAAAGAAAGGAGTGAAGAAAGTAGAATTGAAGGAAAGGAAAGAGGGACGAAGAACTAAAGGAAAGAGGATGAAATTACTGAAGGAAAGAAAGAAGAAGGTGGAATTGAAGGAAAGGAAAAAGAAAGAATTGAAAGAAAGTGAAGCGGATAGAAGAATTGAAGGAAAAGAATGAGTAAGGTAGAATTGAATGAAAGGAAAGAAAGAAATTGAATTTGAGGAAAGGATAGAGGAGAAAGAATTGAAAGCAAGCGAAAAGGATGGATGAATTGAAAGAAAGAAAGAGCAAGGTAAAATTGTAGGAAAGGAAGTGATGTATTAAGGAAGGAAGTGCTTTTGTGGACCAATCTATACAAATTGTTCGGAATGCCGAAATCTTTTTGTCTTCTTTTTCCCTTTTGTACTGTAGTCAAAATGAATTTAGTGTCAGTCTAAAGAACTGTCTGTCGCTGTATCTATTTTTACTTTCCCCATCCGCCTGTAATAGGACATGCCTTTACCGTCTGCCATCATTCCCCTCACGGGGAAGTGTCAGTTGAGGATGAGTAAATTTAACATTCTTTTTCTGGCCCCCAAATCACTTTATGCAAAATATACATACAGTGTTTGAATTAGAAATAAATCCATCTTAGTCACATTGCACCCGACTTCCAACAACAGACGCTCAGATATTTCTGTAAATTGAAGAAGGGAAATCTTATGTATTATCTGTGACGCGACACAGTAAATCCTTCCGTCGGAAATATGTTTCGAAACCGAACGACGAATCAGACAATGATTTTGACCAATTCTGAGAGGATTATTTCAACCCTGACCTTTTCTCTGGTATCTATCTATCTATCTATCTATCTCAGTATGTTCATTATCTATCTATCTATCTATCTATCTCAGTATGTTCATTATCTATCTATCTATCTATCTATCTAAGTATGGTCATTATCTATCTATCTATCTATCTAAGTATGGTCATTATCTATCTATCTATCTATCTATCTATCTATCTAAGTATGGTCATTATCTATCTATCTATCTATCTATCTCTATTAATATCAATTTCAGTCTGTTCGTATTTATCTATCATACTCTGCTTATCTATCTATCTATCTATCTA